ATACATACATACATACATACATACATACATACATACATACATACATACATACATACATACATACATACATACATACATACATACATACATACATACATACATACATACATACATACATACATACATACATACATACATACGTACATACAAACAAACATACATACCTACATGCTTACATACAGACATAAATACATAAAATAGGTGAGGGAGTGCTTTGAATGGGGTACTTAAAAATTCTAGAGGGGTAGAAATAGAAGATGGAGGTATATTGAAAAGAACTCTTAGTATTGTTGGGTTTCTATTTCGTCATGAATGAATTACTTGTCTGTATCTGGTGGTATTTGAATTTTGATTTTGACTTTGATATCTTGTTTAATTTAGATCTTGTTCTATTGATGAGTGAATATTTTAGGTTGGTTCGTATTGTAGTTCGTATTGTGGGTGCGTGGCGAAAGACTGGTTTCAATGGTTCTGATAAAGGTGCAGGCCTTTTTTCAAAGGTATTTGAGTTTTTGGGTGTTTTTGTAGGTGTTGACTGGGGATTTCAGGATTGGTTGGTAAGTGGAGAGTCTTTTATTGGTGTTTGGTCAGCAACTTTGATTTTTCATTTCATACTCAACTGATGAAAACTTGTGTCTTGATAATATTCTTTTACAAAAATTATAAGTATTACTACTGCTATTACGAAGACAATTATTGCCTTTTTGATTCATTTGTGAATCGTCAGGATGAGGGAAGCTACCAATGCTAGAAGAATTATTAAACGTGTGAAAAGTTCTTTATTATTTAGGAGAGGTCGTATCATTTAGAAGAAAAGATAGTAATCTTCATAAACGGTTAGGTAGTCTATGGTTTTGGGAAAGAGATTGGTAGGTCAAGATTAGGGAATAGAAAATTAATAATTGTAGAGAAAAACCAAAAAGGTGGTTTTTATGAGTTCTAAGAAATCGTTTAAAAAATGCAAAATATCAAAGTTTCTTTGAAGGTTGAGAAAAATTTGAAAAGTATAGGTTAAAGAATTGGTTTGATTGAATTTAAAGTGAGCATTTGAAAAAATATTTGCTTCTCGAAATTTTTTTGATTGTTTTTTAATTTTTGAAAAAGAGGTTGGATATGAAAAAATCTAGAGTTTGGGGCATAAAAATTCTGATTCTTTTTTTATGGAGTGATTACGGGTTTTTAGGAAGAAGATTGGTTTTAGATTGAAAAATCAGATAAAAATTTTACTGTAGGTTAACTTCTTATTTTGTTTTTGGTGTTTTTGGGGGTTAGTTTATCAATATTTTTGATTTCTGAATTGATTGATCGGTGGTGTTGAAACTTGAATATGATATTTATATAAGTTGTCAAATTTAAGGGTATTGCTTATATCAAAAGTCTCTGAGTTGGAGTTATAGATCTAGTTCAAGTAAAACTTAAATCAGCTAAAAATAGCAGTGGCGTTGAAGAAAGATTGAGATGAAAACGAGTGACATGATTGGTCGATTTTTTATAACTGTTTTTGAGAAAAAGAAGTACAAAAATTATAAAAATAGAACATTGAAAAATGTCTGTTTTTTGTCTTTCTAATCAGTAGTTTATTTTAATGCTTTGAAAACAAAATAGGGTTGTATTTCTTAAAATTTTTGATTGAGGAGAAAAATTTTACATTTTTTTTCTTGGTCGAGATGATTAACGTTGTTGTGATTTTTTTTATTTCGAGCGGTATAATTTCTTCTTGTAATTTACGCTTCTTTTCTGTTTAGTAGCTGATGATTAAAAAGTTTTTCCTGATTTAATTTTTGTTTGTGGAGAGGGGCTGGGGAATTGCATCTGGGTTTCCTGATATTTGTGATTCAATATTGTTTTGTGGTGTTTCAACAATGTGTAGTCCTGTAAAAAATATAATTGTGATAGTTCGCGAAGGGCGAAAAATTTGGGGTAAAATGGTAAAAGGTTATTTTTATGTTGTGTAATATCCTTTATAGTTTGATCAAATATTTTGTAAGTTATATCTGTGGGTTTTCCGATTATTTGGTATGGTCTTTTTCAAATAAGTTGTAACTATTTTGAGATTCCTTTTTGTATTGTAAAATTTGGTTTTAAAACAAATGCTTCTACTTTTAGATCTGAAGCTGGGGTAAAACATGAACTTAATTGTGAATGAATATTCTGTCTTTATAGTGACTTCTTTGCGTCTTTTTGATGAATTTCATTGTGTTTTGATCTTTATTTATAATCCATAGGGTGTGGGTACGGTGCAGTATTACGGTTAATGTGTAACTTACAGAATGTCTAATTGGTTCACTCCAATTGTACAACCTTACTGACTTACGAATATAGTAGTTTTAAATCTGCGTTTGCTTTCTGTGGATGATGCAGTTGTTGCATCTGAATCCGAAAAATATCTTTGATTATCTATTTTGATATATTTGTCCTGTATTGAGTTTTTGAGGTTTTGAAGTTTTCGAATTGTTGTTGATTGAGATTCCGAAACAGTGTTGATTTAATTTTTTTGCTTTGATATTTTTGCTCTCTTTTTTTGTTTGCTTTTTTGATCTTATATATCCTAATTTTTTTGTGCGGGGTAATTATGAAAACGCATCGTGCTGATTTGATTAAGCAAACATGAATTGTTATCGTTTGTTTTTTTTTTTCAATTTATCTCTTGACATAAGTGTCAAATTGATTGACGCAAAATCCGGTTGTCAATTTTGTTTTTTCCTAAACTGTTAGTTCCTACGGTTTTTGTGAGGTTATATTAATCCTCGAGATTGACTGTCGTGGTTGTCATGGGTTGTGGAGAAAGTTTATCTACTCGTTGAATGATTTTGTATTGCTCTCAAATGTAGTTCTAAGTTAAGCTTAATCTTGGTTTCATTTGGAATCAAGGGTTGGAGAATAAAAAAGAAATCTACAAGGCTCAGGTTTAATTAGAACACAAGAAGATACTATTTTAAATCTTAATAAATTTAATGTGTGTTCTAGGCCTGGGTCAATTAGGAGGTAGAGCTCAAGTGAAGGATGAGTAACTGGAGTTCTTCACTGTTTCTCTTAAGTGGAATAGTTAGTTTTCGAAAAATATCAAAAAATCCTGGACCGTTGTTAGGGGTTGGAAAATGATCGAAGTTTTTGGTCGTTGAATACTACTTAAAAACAGGTTGAGTAAAATAGAAAAAAAATTTTGATCGAAGGAAAGCCTTGATGATCAAACTTTTAGATGGATATAAGATTAAGTTATAGATGAAATTTTATGTTTTAAAATTAGGTTAAAGCTTTAAAGAGCCAGGGTAGCCCTGATGATCTAATCAGGGAAATGCTTTAGGTTCAAAAAATTTAAACAAGTCCTTGAAAAATTTTTAAGCAAAGTTGAATTTTCGAAGAAAAGTGTAGGATTTCGATTTAAATGAGGTTAATTATATTTTTTCTTCTTGTTTTTTTAGGATGAAGGAGAACAACTTATTTTTGCATTTTGTTTACTCAATAAATATGAATTTATAGAAGGTTTTTTGAAAATTACTGCAGATTTGAAAGTTTTGAGATAGATAGCAGGATTATAGTCGACTGATAATATACGTACTCACTATATATCGTTGCAAATTTTACAGCTTTGTAAATAAATTGACTGCTCAAATATCGCGATTTATATCAATGAGTGAAAAAGAACTGCATAAATGGCTGTGTAGAGAAATAGTCGCGGTATTCTATTTCTTCGTTTCACGGTGTAGATAATTGGTCATTCGTTGTGATTTTAAACTGGTTTCACTTTTGCCATTCGTATGATTTGATTTGATTCTTTGAGACGTGGAAATAAGCTAATTAAATGATTAATTTGATTTTTCATTTTTTCTTTGGCGTTTTTAATCTTGTTTGCCTAAATTTTTGTTTTTCTAAATCTAAATTAGTAGAGGTCTGTTCGAAACTCATCTGAAATCACCAGATGAGATTAAGTCCGATGTGGCTTTCTCATAGAGTAATTTCGGATCAGGTGCACTGTCTGTTCGTCGCGCTATCTTATTTTCGGCCGGATAGGTTCGTGCAACTTCTTAGTCTAATACAACTCCTAATTCTATTTCTTTATTTCTTAGTCTCAATAGATCTAGTGTATACTGGTTTTATTGCGAGGCTGAGAATCTAGAAGTAGAACTTAGAGCATTTGTTTGCTGAGTTAAATTAGTTCTTCTCTGGCTGAAACTTTTTGATAGTTTCAGCCAGAGAAGAATTAATTTATCTCAGCAATTTTGCTAGCCTCTTCGTAATGTCTAAAATGGTAGTCTTACACAAAAATGATAAAATAATTCCAATTCTTAGTGACTTCTCAGTTGCTTACGTCTTAGATCACCTGTCACTCCTTCTGATAAATGTTTGCAATAGTTTTTCAACAAGAATACTAGGCTGAAAAAAATGCTGAAATGAAAAAATGAAAATAGTGAGCCTAAAAAATTCGATAAAACCGTTGTAAAGAAAAACGGTTAAAAAATTATCAAGGCTATCAAGTTTTGTTTAAAGTTCGCCAACATTGAGAAGGTTTAAGAACATTGATTATGTTTTGAAGTACAAACCAAGGTTCTTCGTTGAATAAGTGATCTGAATACGAGAACTGAGTTACGCGCTCTTTAGTTTGCTCAGATAGTGTCAAACAATCTTGAGTGTCAATCATTGTCTTACTTTTTTGTAAAAGCTCAAATAAACAACTGATACCTTTCGCTAATTTAAAAATTGCCACTTTTTAGTAATTTAATCGAACCAAAACAAACCTTGATTCAAATTTTAAACGTTCGTGTACTTCAAACGTCAGGACTCGTTTGAGAACTCATTTGAAAGAATTGACAGAGAGGATAAATGTCACTTTGCGAGTTCTTAGTCAGGGTTGCTACTTGGTCAACAATCGAATCTTTTATGAGATATCAGATGTATTGTGCTAGGCTCAATACCAGATTTTATTTCTAACATTGGACGTTGAACCCATTTTGGTTAATGCTATCACATGTTGTATTTCATTAGCAAATTATATAGTTTGATATAACACTTTCACACAAGCTTAATCTTATATCATCACATTCCGAAGTGTCGTATGATACTCTAAGATCAACTTACTCTGTGACTTTTTGTTCGCAAAGTGGGGCATTTTTGCCTAAACTGTTCATAATTTTGCTGTAAAACCAGACAATTTTTGTAATTATTGAAAGGACGTCTAAGAAAATTTTGAACTTATTTCTCCGGCCGTCAAAAAAATATAGTTTACAGTTAAATTAAAATTCCCGAAAAAAGCAATAATACACTTGCTATTCTAAACAAATTCAACTTACCACTGATTGGTTTAAAAATGTCAAATTTTGGTACCAGTGGACCGTCTGATGACTCATTGGCCTTTCTGGACAAAGGGAAAAACAAAGAGCCGAGACACAGTCTGAAACCCATGCAGAACTCCCGAAGACTTCCGGAACGCCTGGATCCATTTATGAGAGGCGGGGATGGAGATAGATTGGAGGCTCGAATCTTTTCTACAAAACCCAAACCCTTTATATAGAACAAAATACTATGGTTTATCGTATAACAAACTGCTGTTTTCAGATTTAATTTTTCGCCTCAGCTGTGTTCAAATCTTTGATAGAAGTTAAATTCATTGATAAAGCATGCTAGAATGTTGAATAAAATGATGATTTTTCAATCAAAAGTAAGGACTTAGAGACAGAGGGAAGGGGGAGTGTTGAAGAGATCCAAGTGCAGGACATCTCGATGCTGAGACGCAAATTGTCGGTGGTTCTTTGTGCTGCGTCCATTTTCTTCGAGGGCATCAATTTGTCTCTAGCAGGTCCCTTTTTCCCAGACGAGGCCTCCAAAAAAGGTTAGTAAAGGAATGTTCACAGAGATAAATGTTTGCTTACAACTGTTTTCATGGATTTGTGATTCATTTGTTTTAAAGATGGCCACTTTGATTGAAATGGGGCAATTAATAATGGAAATTTGGAACACATTAGGACAAAAACGTTAGAGCCGATTTTGAGATCGGCTCTGGCTTTTTCCAAATTTTTAGTTAGATATGGACTTCCAGGATGAAAAAAAATGTCATGGAAAGAGAATGTTATGGAAACAAGCTCCAAAAAATATTGACCTTTTTTGATGAATTTTCGTCTGCTGATTGTTAGTTTTAAAAAATTTTGTTGCAATGCAACAAAAAACAGTTGAATTATTTTTTTTTAAAGAACAGTTCTTACAGGAAAATTGTTTCCAGGCCGTTTTGCCTACAATGAAAACACCTGCAACCACTCAACATAGCCTTTTATTGGTGTTCAGTTTTTTTGAAAATATTTTACGGGCAAATTCGGGTTTTTTTTGGGTCTTCCCCGCCTGAAAAATGTAAATGAATTCTTTTTTTACAAAAATGGACTGATTTTACTCAGAAATGTAGAAACTTATATCATGAGCTCGAGTCAAAAAAAATGTGAAATAAACAAATTTGCTCGTATCAGAGCAAAAGCCTGAATGTTTCGACTGCCTTTTAAGGTCTATGAAGCAGAAATAACATGAAAAAAATATGTAATAAAATAAAATGAAAAGAAAATGTTTTATGAATATGAGAATTTTTTGAGAAAGTCATCCCCCCAAACGTCATATAAAAATTAAAGTGATAGATTTAGCTCCTAGTAACAAGTAAATAATGGCAAATCAGCTTCCTTCAACCAATTTGGAACAATTTCGATAGCAGCGCGAAATGTATGGCACGTTAATTATCCCAAGTTGGTCAAAATGGCAATCTTTAAACTTTCTAAGCTTTGCAAAAAATGATCAGTGATTTTTTTCAAATTTAAGCTCAGGACAACAATACCTATTGAATGGTTCAAAAAATGTTAAAAATAGCAAGTTAAAAAGTTGAAATTTGTCCGAAGAAAAAAACCACCCCGAGCACAAATATTCCCTTACTTTTGCAACGAGAGTCAGAACAAAAATGCTTTTTGGCAACGCATTTTATTGAAGTTTTTCTGCAGAAAACTGCAAAAAAACTAGTTAGTGGCTAAATCACATAGAAACGCTTCGTATTGACCAGTCCAATATTAATTTCATGCCATTTCTAGTAATGATGATCCATTTGTTATAAGGTTTTTGATCCGGCTTTCCTAAAGGAGGTAACGGAATATGTGTGCTCAGGTGGTTTTTTTTTCTACAGACAAGTTTAGATCAATCAAAAATTTTATCGTCCTGAGCTTAAATTGGAAAAGATATTTTGTCTGTGATCAATTTTTGTAAAGTTATGGGGTTGGAGTTTTGCCATTTTGGCCAAATTGAGATAATTAAAGCGCGATATTTTTGGCGGTGATAACGCGTAAGCGGAAAATTAACCCTTCTGAGAAATCGTTCCAAATTGGTTGAAGGAAGCTTGTTTGACATCATTAATTTATTAGTAGGAGCGAATTCTATCACTTTGTTTTTTTAATATGGAGTGGGGCGCAGGATGGTTTTTACAGAAAACCTCAAAAAATTGTTCTAAAATTTTTTTTGTTACACTCAATTTTCTTTTGTTACTACTGCTCCATAGACCTTAAAAGGCGTTCTGAACTTTCAGTGCTTTGCACTGATACGAGGAGTCTTGTTCATATAAGCGGAATATAACCGAAAATTCACCATATTTGTTTGAAAAGTGCACAATGGTTATGTGTTGTGTGTTCTGTGGCACTATCATAATGAGCATAAGGCGCAGAACAAAACGGCTGGCATCAGATCAAAACCTTGAACGTTCTGTTCCGACTGCTCATTGGCACTCTGATAGAAGAAGGGAAACTGATCTCAGTTTGAAAAATAATAAAAAAAAATATATATTTTTTCAATTTTCTGAAGAAGAAAGTGATACTTTTCGTCTCTGATTGCTAATTAATAAGCTTATTTGCTTCTTTGTAAACCATTCCCTATTAAAATTGACAATGCATAATATAGCCACAAAGCAAGGAGACTAGAGCTTGGTTTTAAAATTTATGTAACTCACCTATAAAAATTGAATGGAAACTTTTTAATCAATTTTATATAAGAAACCACTTTAAAAAGAATTAACTAAAATTTTAGATTGGAAAAATTTGGTTGAAAATGGAAAATAGAAAAGTAAAGAAAATGTTCCTGACGTAAACGTTATAGCCACAAGAAATAAGCATATTGTATGAAATGCAAGCCCAAACTGAGGTTCAATTTCAACGTCAGATTTTGGTTGTAATAAATCAAACTTGAACACTAGTAAAAAATTAATTATTCCTTTTCATTGAAAATACAAAAAGTAAGTATATATTCTAATGTGGAATTAAATAAGCTCGGTGTTTTCTTATATGCTCATTCTCAAGTTTATGGGACGAAACTTTGTCGCATGCTTTTTTCTCTAACGCATTTCTTGCTACCAGAAAAAGTTTGAATACACTCAATCTAAAGCTTTGACCGTTGTAATTCTGAGTTAAACAAAAAATGAAAATTTCATCTGATGTTGAGAGAATTAGCTTTAAAAAAAGCTGGGATCTACATAACAATCTCCGACCCTTTCAAGATTTTTCGACCAATCAGAATGGAGCAAAATCAGCATTCTCAATAGAAAGCTCAGTGCTAATTTACTGTATTTATTTATAGGGGTAGAGATTTTTAAGTGGTACCATGGGTGGGGGGGGGGGGGTGTAGATTGTTAAATAGATCCAAAAGATTCAAAAGTTTTTGGTAAAAAAATTTTCAGTTAATATTTTTTCATTGTAATCATGGCAAATCCCGTTTTTGAACAATGATTTTTGAAAACGACAAACTCAGCAATCAATTTAGGGTCCAAAATGGTACAGCAGCCAACATTTCGTGTTTAATGGTTATTATTTATTGTTTTCCATGGTGAAGTTCTGATTTTTATTGAAAAACTGATTTTATTACAAATGTGCTGTTTGCTAGGTTGAGAGGGTTTTTGGCAGTTTCTGTCCACGGAAAACTCCAAACTTGTGAATTTTATTGCAGAAAAAGTCCGAATATTTCATCGTTTTTTTTTTTTGAAAAAATTGCCAGTTTTGGTCATAATTGCTATAGACCAAAACCAGTCCGTTTTTCTTTTGACTTCTTTAATCATGTAATGGATCGTTTTCCGTCTACTCTGACCTAGCGATGCTTGGTTTTTTTGACACTTGAACCTCTCTACACATGGACTAAACAGCAACACTCCGCTTAAGCATAATTTTTCGACAATTGTTCCGATGTATCAGAGGACCAATTTTAAATTACTTTCTGAAAAACCAAAAAAATTAGAAGCTTCTAATTTTTCACTGATAATTTTTGATTACGAGTTTTCTAACCATCCATCAGTTGTGCAGAAAAAGCGGAAAATTTGAGATGAAAGTTTTTCTTTCTTTTTTATTCGTTGTTGTCTGCAGACTCCTGGCCGCACATGGGCGGACTGCGGGTTGACCTTCGGCCCCTTTTTTCAAAATTTCTGTTTTGTCAACCATGCTCTTAAAATTCATATTCAATAGAGTTAGTCCTTTGAGTTAGACTAACTTTCAGTTTGGCTAAGAAGCAGTATGATTACCCAAGACGCACACGTTGATGAAGCAAGGATCGATGAACACAAACACTATTTCTTACATCTATCATTTCCCAACCACTAGCTGATACACTGGTCACTCTTGTCTTTGTGATCATTTTGTACTAAAAATGACCCCGGCTGTGATTAATTTAAAAAAGATGATAGTAGGATAAATTTTTGTGAACAATTTCTTATTCGTAATAAATGTTGTTGATTATTTTGCACTGGTGACTGTTGAATTGAAACTGGTTTTTTTTTGTGTGCAATAAGCGTTGTCTGCGGCATTGTTTTGTCATTTTTTAGTATTCAATCTGAACACATTTTTTTCTGATATAGTATTCAATCTGAACACCCGGGCTTCAGCTTAACTACTAATCATCTGCAGTAACATTAAAACAGGAAATTTAACTAACTGTCATTATTACCTGATTCTTGATACTGGCTTGCAACAAAATATCACTGATTTTACTGCTTGGAAACTGAATACAAACTCCAAACTGCTGGCGCTAGAACTCTGTCTAACAAAGGCAAAAAATTGAAGTTGGCACCAAATTGTGAAATAAGTCTTGACTAGCCATGCTACACTTAAACGTTCTCACTGACTAATAACTACTAATGTCTCGCACCCCAATTGCCAAAAACTGCACAACTCACTATACTATTTCAAAAAAACTGGCTTGATTACTGAATTGCTCTCTTGTGAAAACTGCTTCAAAATCTGGTATGATTCTCTGGACAATTTTGAGGTCTCAGTCAAATCAACATCGGCTGGGTCATGGCTTCAATGAGCATCAGCAGCGTCATCAGCCTTCTACTTCTCATCAAAATCCTGTCTCCAAAAATGCTCAAATTTTTCTACGTATCTGGATTAGTTTGGGTTGCTGTGGCTACCATGATTTTTGGATACGCTGTTCATTTCACAGATCCACTTCATTACTTCATTGTTAGTCTTGCATGTCAAGTTGTAAGTGGATCTGGCGTGATTGCAATTCAGATCACGTCTTTACCAATCATTTCACGTCTATATCCAGATAAATCAACGTTGATGACGACAATTTTTCACATTGCATTTGGTTTTGGCGAATTATGCGGACCTTTCGTTGGTAATTTTACGATTCCAAATTTGGGTTATCAATGGCCATTTTACGGCTGTGGTGTCATAATTTTTTCAATTGCAATTTTAGTAGCAATTTTGGTTCCATCGAAAGAGACCAATCTTGAGGAAGAATCATCGAACAACAACTCGGAGAAGTTCAGCTTGGTTAAAATGATTTTCAGACCGCGTTTGCTCTTATTTCTGATTCCGGAGTTCTTTC